AAGGCACTTTTTTATGCTCCAACCGTTGCACCAGATTGATATCAAAATGAGATTTCAGCAAAAAAAGCATCAAACTGAGAACGAGACACAGATTTTATCAAATCACTGTTACTGACCGTTGAAAGAGGTACACCGGTCAACTAGCCGGTTGCTCAGCCGGTTGACCAACCGGTCGACCGCCTAAAGGTTCAAACGGTTCGAAGAAAAGGTTCAACAATAAAAAAAAAAAAATTTTTTTTGCCTAACCGGTCAACCGGCCGGTCGACCGGCGGTCGACCACCCGGTCGTCCCGAAAAAAGTTCAGAAAGTTCAAAAAAAAGTTCAGACAATTCGCGAAAAAAAAAAAAAAAATTTTTTTTTAAAAAAAAAAAAATTTTTTTTGCCTAACCGGTCAACCGGCCGGTCGACCACCCGGTTGTCCCGGGATAGATTTGGTGAAAGGTGAACCGTTGGAGTGAGTGATATCAAATTTGATAAAATGAGTCATTTTTAACTCAAATTTGGTGAAAAATTTGAGTAACCGTTGGAGATGCTCTCAATACATCGAAGTCATGGAATTGCCAGAATATTTTATTATTTTTAGTATTTTCTGTGACTTCTGAACAAATTCGGAAGCAGCCGTCATTGTTAGGTCTATTTGCAGTATCTTTCTAGGATTTTGGATTGGGAAAATTATAATCTAGTACAATATTTTTAATAAAATCCAAAAAAAAAAAAAAAAAAAAATTTAAAATCCTAATTATTAAGTTTTAAAACTAGCTCTAATGAGTTGGTAATAGTCCCACCTACTGTGATGTAATATTTTGGTCTTAATTTATTTTATTTTATTTTTCTTCTTGTCATGTTATTAGTACTCTATTAAAATATCAAAATTAATACTCTAAATCATTATTAAAAAAATACATAATCATTAAAAAATTTATAATTTTAATTATTTATTATAAAATAATTCTACTAATTTGTAGTTAAATTTGTTATACTGCATGGATAATATTCCCTTTCAAATTTTGCTTTTACTACTTTACTTTTTATTTTATTTTATTTATAATTAAACCTTTTTGTTTTCGAAAGAACCATCGCATGAGAAAGTGTTTTTATTTTTTATTTTTTAGAATTTAAATAATAAAATTATCGTTCTTTTTAATAGTTTAAATTTTTATCCAAACCAAATCAAACCAAACCAAATTAAGCCTTAGGTCTTATTAAATGGGATCGACAACATCAATATTTCTTCTCTACGCGGCTCTATCAAAGACCATTTCGTTGGTAAATTAAGTAAATCTATGTCTCTACTTATAATGCTATCCAACGTTAATATAAGGTCCTAGTGTCCTACATCAGAAATGAAGGGGGAGTTCTTGAATTACAAGAGTAAAAACCTAGACCCTTATATAGTATCGAGGCCTTTTCCTGGGTGGTGAAATCCCTAGTTAAGCATGCTTAGGCTAGAGTAGTTCTAGGATGGGTGACCTACTGGGAAGAACAAATCCGTGCGAGTATGGCCTAAAGTGGACAATATCGATGACATGTGAAGGGTTGAGGTGTTACAGTTAATCAAGGACTATTCGGTCCCCTAACACTTCCATCAACTGTCACTACATCGCATCTCTTCACTATTGCCTCTATTGGTCTCCGTTGAATATGACTAAACTATCTCAATCGATTCTCTCTCAACTTATCTTCTATCGATGCTACTCCTACCCATTCTCAAATACACTCATTCCTAATTCTGTCTTGTCTAGTTTTGCCACACATCCACCTTAGCATTCTCATCTCAACAAGACTCATTTTATCGACATGTTGTTTCTTGGTTGCTCAATATTCTGTCCCATACAACATTGCTGGTCTAATAGCCATTATATGAAACTTACCTTTTAGTCTAGTGGGTATTCGTTTATTGCACAGTACCCCCGACACACTTCTCCACTTAAGCCATCCCACCTTAATCCTATAGGCCAGATTTGCATCAATCTCTCCCGCTGTTGTGATAATCGACTTTAAATAATGAAAATGTTTATTCTTAGGTAGTTCTTGGTTCTCAATCTTCACTTCTCCTCTACTTTCATTATTATTGTTACTAAATTTACACTCCATGTACTCTGTTTTAGTCCTGCTTATTCGGAATCCTTGAGATTCAAGTGTTTTTCTCCAAGTCTCCAACTTTTTGTTAACTCATTCTCTAGTCTTATCTACTAATACGATATCATCTGCAAAAAGCATACACCATGGCACGTTATCCTGAATATTTCTTTTCAACTCATCCATAACTAACGCAAAAAGATAAGGACTTAAGGTAGATCCTTGGTGTGATCCTGTAGTGATAGAAAATTTATTTGTCTTTCCAGTAGGCGATCTAATAATGGTCATCATCCTTTCATTCATGTCCCTAATCACATCAATGTAACATTTTGTCACCCTTTTCTCCTCTAACACCCACCATATTATATCTCGAGGCAATCTATCATATGCTTTCTCAAGGTCGATAAACATCATATGAATTTCTCTTTTCTTTTCTTTATACTTTTATATTACTCTCCTTAACAGATAGATTGCTTCAATTGTTGACCTGCCAGGCATAAACCCAAATTGATTCTCTGACATGTTTGTTATATCTCGTAATCGACGTTCCATCACCACTCTCACACTTTCATTACATGACACATTAGCTTGATTTCTCTATAGTTATTACAATTCTGGACATCTCCTTTATTCTTATAGATTGGCATTAAAATACTCTTCCTCCATTCATCTGGCATGTTCTTAGTCAACAAAATTTTGCTAAACAACCTAGTCAACCAAGTAACTCATTTTTTACCCAAACACTTTCAAGCTTCAATAGGGATATCATCGGCTCTTAAAGCCTTATTTGATTTCATCTTCTTAAGTGTAATTTCCACTTCAAAGTTCTTAATCTTGCGATAGAACCTATAGTTTTGGTTTATCGTATTACTGTGTATTTCTTCCCCTATTGACATACCTCCATGTTCCTTATTTAGTAGTTTCTCAAAATAGCTCTTCCATCTCTCCTTAATCTCTTCATCCTTCACTAATACCTTAGAATCCTCATTCTTGATGCACTTAACTTGATTAAAATCTCTTGTTTTTGTCACGACCCAAACCGGCCCATATAAGTTTGGCGTCGTAACCAGCTAATAATTTGAGATTACCAAAGGCCTTCATGTACAATCATAAATAATCGTGGCTAGCGGAAGCAATATACAAAAAATACCAATAGTCCAATGAGCTGTGTATCTATATGAAGAAATATTTATTTGCAAAAACGTTAATTTACCCACATTCAATACATAACTTGTAACTTAACATCTTATGCGTAACATATGCACATAACAAAAGTTTACTTCACGATCAAAAGCTTGACAACGGCCTTCCAGGCCTAGCCCCAACTCGGAGGCACTCAAAATAACTCGGTAGGCTTCAAAAGGGTAGCTCAGCTAAAGACCACTTCTAGACTTGACCTTCAAAATGCTCACCTATACATATATATATATATAAACAGTGAGTTAAAACCCAGTGAATAACATTAAAGTAAAAGGGTTAGAGAACGAATTCCAAATATATCATATCTATAAAACAAATCATGAGATAGTCATTCATATTAGTTACATATAAGAAAATAACATAATGGTACATCTCACAGAACATATCACATATCGTTTTCTGGTTAGAGTAATCGGTTCCGGATACCGATTAAACACATATCACCACATTGAAGTGGCTAACGAGATCTCGTATCACATATATGTCATGGACCCGCATTTACATGTCGTCCCCCATGACTTGGGACCATCTGTGGATGCTATAATAGATTCGCAAACAGGACATTCGTTCACATGATCAAAATAGTATTTCAAAAATTATAACTTATCGATAATAGTGGAAACATAGTTCATATCAACATATCTTTACAGAAATGTTACTCATAGTGGGCTTTTAGAACGGTTGGTCAAGCAGTCCTTGATTCGTGACCTATAATCACAAATATGTATAACACGATACATAATCATCTTAAACACATTTAGTTCACTTAAGCCATATATTAACCAAACTGATTAAATATAAACAATTTAATCATATGCCAACCCTTATTAAGTTCACTAATTACACAATCAAACTTAAATTAGGCTCATACACATTAAATTACAATTATTCAGTCATGTTTAAATTACTGAATCAGAAACTCATAAATATGTACATTTTGAAATTTTAACTCCAAATCAAAGCTCAAAACTCTTAAAAACATGCTGGTTAAGACCTTGTTGAAATTCAATATTTAATTTGAAATAAAGATCAAACCTTCAATGTAAACTCAATTTCCACTTAAAATATCAAAATCAAGAATTTAAGTGTAAAATCATAAAACATGCAAGTTTGAGTTCCAAATTCATCTTCCATGGAACATTTTTTTGAATTCTTTTAAGCCATGCAAGGAAACATAAAAGCATGGACATGAATTTCCAACATGAAACACAATTAAAACTTTAAAACAAAGCTTAAGTGTTCAATTGAAAGATCAAAATTTTAATCAATTTGGAACATTACAAAACATGCATATTTTGAGCTCTAAATTAAAAAAAAAAAATCATGGAGTTTCCTCCTCCAATGTGAAGAACTATGCAAGAAATCAAATGTATGAACAGGAGTTTCATGAAATCAAGTCATGCATGTCAAAACCTTGAGCTAAATTCTTCAAATCTAACCATGCATGTCATGTTCTTGCACTAATTCTTACAATTTCTTCTCTTTTATGTTCATATGAATTCTTAACATTAAATTACACTACTAATCTCTTATTTATTCATGGTCTTTACTTAAAACAAGCCAATGCTTAAAGGATTAAGAGGGAAGCATTTCAATTTCATAAAATCGATGGAAATTCAAAAAACACTCATCATTTTTATATGGTTTTATCTTTTTTTTTTGGTGTGGAAGTAATTTTTAAAAATCTGAAAATATTATTTTTGATGTTTCTTTTTGTCAAACTAATTTCTATTTGAAAAAAGAAAAAAGAAAAAGAAGAGAGATATGATTTTGTCTCATGACTTTGCTGCTTGATTCATTCAGGCGGAGACTGCATGGGCCATGACTGTTCTTGGGTACTTGGCCAAACTAGTGTTGGGGGTTTTAGGGTAAGTGCGAATTTTATGCATATCATTAATTGTGACTTTGACAAACAAAATGTTATTTTGATTTCCTTGAAACTGTCATTTTTTGGGGTCTCTGCAGAAAATTTTAGATAAAAATTGTTTTTTCACACCAAAAAAAAAAAAAAAAGAATTTAAAAACATTTCTTATGGATAACGTATGGATGATGTTTAGTCTCTAGTTATTTGTTCTGGCCTTTAATTTTAAATGCAATGTATTTGGGGATGGGGAGCTTGCTTTGATGTGTATGAAGTATTATATTTCTTATGGGGATATTATTGTTGGGTAAATATATGATGATCCACATCTCTTTCATGTCGATTGTATTTGCTTTCTCTATGTTTTATCATATGTGTTTCTCCTGTTCCTTACTTCACACTCCACTATTCTCGTGATATTTTTGTTTCTGTTCTGTGTCTATGGGGTATATTAAATCTGACTTCTTCTTGGCTGCTTGTTTGATAGGTTGATTGTTTCAGTGGCATGGATTGCACATATTGTGATATATCTATTGATTAACCCTCCTCTTTCTCCTTTCCTAAATGGGGTTTTCATCAAGTTGGATGACGTCTGGGGTATTATAAAAATTTTAAGCATATTTTTTTCTTTCATTTCCTTTTTGCTTCATGAGTCATAACATTAACTTGAGATACCTATTTGCCACTTCACCAGGTCTTCTGGGAACTGCAGCCTTTGCATTCTTCTGCTTCTACCTTCTACTTGCCGTGATTGCTGGGGCAATGATGCTTGGCATGAGATTAGTTTTCATAACAATCCATCCCATGAAGTAATGAACTTTGTCTTGTCTGCATATTTTTTCTCATCTTATTATTTCGTTGTGTTTCTGATGCTTCCTGTGATTGCTAATATTTGATCCATATCACAGGTGGGGAGCCACTCTGATGAACTCCTTTCTTTTTAATGTGGGACTCATTCTTCTTTGCTCCATCAGGTTGGAATCTTGGATTCTCGACACACTTTATTTACATATTGAAGTTGGTTTTTCTTTTTTTCATTCAAGTGGGAGCGTTGTGCTTGTGAGCAGGATTGATTAGCCTCAGTAATGCTCATGAAGAATCTTCAAGTTGGTGTATGCCCTAAGTGAACTACAAACTAAGCTTCAGAAGTGATTGAAGTAGCTAAATTGGAATAGCCTTGTAGGTCCTATTTGGACAGAGAACGGAATTTTATTTCATTCCTGTGGTTTTTCTCGAGCAAGATGATTTATTTAATCTAGTGAATTTTTGTGAAAATCTTTTGCAGAACCGTACCTGACTCGGATTATTGGTGGTTTTGCTTTCAGGAGATAATGCACGATCCTCAGGTGGCAGCCGATGGATTCACCTACGAAGGAGATGCTCTGCGTGGATGGTTGGAAAATGGCCGAGAAACTTCCCCGATGACCAATTTGAGACTGGATCACTTGCATCTCACTCCCAACCATGCACTGAGACTTGCTATTCAAGATTGGCTTTGCAAAGTCTAGCATACCATTCGTATACATTCAGTCTATGTCATAATGTATATTTGTAGAGTCTTCTTGTATTTGGAGAAAAAAAAACCCTTTTACCATTGTATTTGGATAACTATTGAAATATTCTGTCTAAAGAGGACTGGGAGAAACAACAGGCTAAAGAGGTAGAGCATTGCATTGGCTTCTGTATGCCAGTTGTATCAAAATCTTGTATTGGTATCACGAACTTTTTTTTATGTATTTTATTTTATTTGTATGTTAATAGGTTAGTAATAAGGTAGCTTACAACGAATGAGCTATGGTCGCTCTATCGATTCGTTGTTGCTATTGCACATATGAAACTGAATTAATGCTTCATTTGTTATTTGAATGGGAGTTATTATTTTATTTTTCATACATATAAATTTGTTCATATTATTGTTATTTTTCAGCTTTATTACAGGTATGTTTTTTTAGTTAAATATAACAGATTCAGAACAATTTTTTTTTTTAAAAAGAGCTATAACGGCGTTTTTTCAAAACGCCACTACAGTGCCAACGGACATTTTTTAAAAATAAAAAAATTTATCACGGCGTTTTAAAAACGTCGCTAAATATTGGATGACGTCATTTTATCATTATTTATCGCATTTAGCGGCGTTTTTAAAAACGCCGCCTATACTAATTTTACGACGTTTTTAAAGCGTCATAAACTTATAGCGACGGCCGCGTCCTCGACGTTTGGTGATAAGCGTCACTAAAAGAATTAGCGGCGTTTTTCATACATATAGCGGCGTTTTTAAAACGCCGCTAAAAGTCATTTTTCCAGCAGTGTTAGGCTGGAGTAGTTCTAGGATGGATGACCTACTGGGAAGAACAAATCCGTGTGGGTATGGCATAAAGCGGACAATATCGATGACATGTGAAGGGTTGAGGTGTTACAGTTAATCAAGGACTATCCGGTCCCCTAACACTTCTATCTACTGTTACTACATCGCATCTCTTCACTATTGCCTCTATTGGTCTCCGTTGAATATGACTAAACCATCTCAATCGATTCTCTCTTAACTTATCTTTTATCGATGCTACTCCTACCCATTTTCAAATACACTCATTGCTAATTCTGTCTTGCCTAGTTTTGCCACACATCCACCTTAGCATTCTCATCTCAACAACACTCATCTTATCAACATGTTGTTTCTTGGTTGCTCAATATTCTGTCCCATACAACATCGCTGGTCTAATAGCCATTCTATGAAGCTTACCTTTTAGTCTAGTGGGTATTCGTTTATTACACAGTACCCCCGACACACTTCTCCACTTAAGCCATCCCACCTTAATCCTATGGGCCACATCCGCATCAATCTCTCCCACTGTTGTGATAATCGACTTTAAATAACGAAAATGTTCACTCTTAGGCAGTTCTTGGTTCTCAATCTTCACTTCTCTTCTGCTTTCATTATTACTGTTATTAAATTTACAGTCCATGTACTCTGTCTTAGTCCTGTTTATTCGGAATCCTTGAGATTCAAGTGTTTTTCTCAAAGTCTCCAGTTTTGTGTTAACTCATTCTCTAGTCTTATCTACTAACACGATATCATCTGCAAAAAGCATACATCATGGCACGTTATCCTGAATATTTCTCTTCAACTCATCCATAACTAACGCAAAAAGATAAGGACTTAAGGTAGATTCTTGGTGTGACCCTGTAGTGATAGAAAATCTATTTGTCTCTCCAGTAGGCGATCTAATAGTGGTTATCACCCTTTCATTCATGTCCCTAATCACATCAATGTAACGTTTTGTCACCCTTTTCTCCTCTAACACCCACCATATTATATCTCGAGGCAATCTATCATATGCTTTCTCAAGATCGATAAACATCATATGAATTTATCTTTTCTTTTCTTTTCTTTATACTTTTATATTACTCCCCTCAACAGATAGATTGCTTCCATTGTTGACCTGCCAGGCATAAACCCAAATTGATTCTCTGGCATATTTGTTATATCTCGCAATCGGCGTTCCATCACCACTCTCACACTTTCATTACATGACACATTAGCTTGATTTCTCTATAGTTATTACAATTCTGGACATCTCCTTTATTCTTATAGATTGGCATTAAAATACTCTTCCTCCATTCATCTGGCATGTTCTTAGTCAACAAAATTTTGCTAAACAACCTAGTCAACCAAGTAACTCATTTTTTACCCAAACACTTTCAAGCTTCAATAGGGATATCATCGGCTCTTAAAGCCTTATTTGATTTCATCTTCTTAAGTGTAATTTCCACTTCAAAGTTCTTAATCTTGCGATAGAACCTATAGTTTTGGTTTATCGTATTACTGTGTATTTCTTCCCCTATTGACATACCTCCATGTTCCTTATTTAGTAGTTTCTCAAAATAGCTCTTCCATCTCTCCTTAATCTCTTCATCCTTCACTAATACCTTAGAATCCTCATTCTTGATGCACTTAACTTGATTAAAATCTCTTGTTTTTGTCACGACCCAAACCGGCCCATATAAGTTTGGCGTCGTAACCAGCTAATAATTTGAGATTACCAAAGGCCTTCATGTACAATCATAAATAATCGTGGCTAGCGGAAGCAATATACAAAAAATACCAATAGTCCAATGAGCTGTGTATCTATATGAAGAAATATTTATTTGCAAAAACGTTAATTTACCCACATTCAATACATAACTTGTAACTTAACATCTTATGCGTAACATATGCACATAACAAAAGTTTACTTCAAGATCAAAAGCTTGCCAACGGCCTTCCAGGCCTAGCCCCAACTCAGAGGCACTCAAAACAACTCAATAGGCTTTAGGCGGTGGCTTGACTAACGGTATTTGTCTAGGCTTAACCTCCAGGACACTCACCTATACATACATATACAAAAAACAGTGAACAAAAGCCCAGTGAATAACAAATGCATAAAGAAGTTATGAATGAGACATTAAAATCAATCAGTTACTGTAGCAAGTTCGTTCACATAGCAGTAGCATGTTCGTTAAATGCAAGCATAGCAGTCGTAAGGCCACGTGTACATGTAGTGGTCTTTAAGATCATAGAACAGACGATCATATAAACCAATATCTTGTATACATGAAGCCATGGCATTATTACTCCCCAGGCGAGGGCCACATGAACATATTCCACGGTATTATTATCCCTGGGTAAGGGCCACGTGAACATATACCATGGTATTGTTACCCCCGGGTAAGGGCCAAGTGAACATATACCACGGTATTGTTGCCCTCTGGTAAGGGCCACGTGAACATATACCACGGTATTATTACCCCCGAGTAAGGGCCACGTAAACATAACCACGGTATTATTACCCTTGGGTAAGGGCCACATGAACATATTGGATGAGTTCATTTATTCAGTAAATTTTAAATATGGATGACTAGTATTAGGAATAAATTAGATTATTAACCTCCAATTAAAATATGTTTAGCTATGTATTAACCAAACTAATTAAATATAAACAATTTAATCATATGCCAACCCTTATTAAGTTCACTAATTACACAATCAAACTTAAATTAGGCTCATACACATTAAATTACAATTATTTAGTCATGTTTAAATTACTGAATCAGAAACTCATAAATATGTACATTTTGAAATTTTAACTCTAAATCAAAGCCCAAAACTCTTAAAAACATGTTGATTAAGACCTTGTTGAAATTCAATATTTAACTTGAAATAAAGATCAAACCTTCAATGTAAACTCAATTTCCACTTAAAATATCAAAATCTAGAATTTAAGTGTAAAATCATAAAACATGCAAGTTTGAGTTCCAAATTCATCTTCCATGGAACATTCTTTTGAATTCTTTTAAGCCATGCAAGGAAGCATAAAAGCATGGACATGAATTTCCAACATGAAACACAATTAAAATTTTAAAACAAAGCTTAAGTGTTCAATTGAAAGATCAAAATTTTAATCAATTTGGAACATTACAAAACATGCATATTTTGAGCTCTAAATTAAAAAAAAAAAATCATGGAGTTTCCTCCTCCAATGTGAAGAACTATGCAAGAAATCAAATGTATGAACAGGAGTTTCATGAAATCAAGTCATGCATGTCAAAACCTTGAGCTAAATTCTTCAAATCTAACCATGCATGTCATGTTCTTGTACTAATTCTTACAATTCCTACTCTTTTATGTTCATATGAATTGTTAACATCATTAACTTCCCAATTATACATGATTTCTCCTTATTTCCACTTAGGTTCTACAATCTCATGATTATAACACTTCAATTTCATAAAATTAGAGGATAATTCCTACCTTTAATGGTTGAATTGGTGCAATTTTAACTTAATCTCCCTTGATCTTCTTCTTTCCCCCTCCCTTTTTTTTTAAAAAAAAAAAAAAACTTCTTGAGCTCTCTAGATCTTTATCTCCTCTCTCAAGCTTTATCTCCTCTCTCAAGTGTATATCTCCAGCATAATGCACTCACTCTCTCTCTTGGTTTCTCTTTTCTTGACTATATTAATGAATAGGCTTCTATGTAGCCACTAATCTACTAGTATACTCAAGTTAGATTAGATTTAGGCTAATTCATCATGATGAATTAAATTATACCAATCACATACTTAATTAAATCAAATTCCCTTAAATTAAATTAATCTTCATCATTTATAATCTTAATGACACTAAATTAAATTCTACTAACGTGTATTAAGCTCTACTTCCTATTCAATTATTTAATTCCAATCTATTAAAATTAGCGAATCAGACAATCAATTTTTTTAATTAAACTTCCCGGATAACTCTAAAAATTTCAATTAACATATCATTATACTCAATTTTGATTTCTGAACCCATTTATGTCGTCAATTTCAGTTTTAAAGCGAGCTCACAATGGATAGTTTCTCAATTTAAACAGATATTTACAACAAATCAAATTAGATAATTCACAATTAATCACTTGGCACATGTCATAATTAAAATTCAATACATAATTAATCACTTATAATTACGATTAGCATTTTGGGGTCGTCATAGTTTTCCTTTCCCGTATCTTAGCAAGTTTGTATACCCTCTTTAACTTAGCCTCTCTCAGTACTTTCTTGACCTCCTTATTAGCCAATCTATAACTCTTAAGGTTTTTCACAATTCTATCATTCTGCCACTTTTTAAAGTACTCTTTTTTTGCCTTAAATACTGGTTGAACCTCTTCTCTCCACCACCAAGTTTCCCTAGAGTTGGGTCCCATTCCTTTCGACTTTCTAAGCACTTCCCTTGAGATTCTCCT